CTATCATGAAAATCAACAACTAACAAAACCTACAAATGTCAACGTAGTACCTCATGTTCCAGTTCGCTGAAAAAAAGATAGAAAAAGAAACATTTTCACCCCTGATATATTAGTTACTACATTTCTCTATTTCTTTCCAAAGCCTTTACATCTATTTCAGAAATTTTTGTAGACTTTTTCTCTGAAGACTGATGAATAGAAAAAGCAAAGTGGAAAAAAAAGGATATTCAGAGAGATGTGACTAGATTGCTTATCTCTTTGTCATTTTTCCAATTCTTTCAAGAAAACTACAAGGTTGGCAGAGTACAGGCAAAAGTACTCTTATGGAAAACTTACGTGCCTTATCATCAACTATGTTTTTCAGACAGAAAAGATTTATAAGATATGACTAAATGACAAGCCAGAAGCGAATCAGAACACAGAATACCCTGCCATCAACTTTAACGCCGTATCTTTCTACTTTTGTTCATCTATCCACCTACACAGTAAAGAAAGCAAAATTTTATTAAACAACATCCTTGTAAGTTTATTATCAATGTCTAAAAATACGTAAGAACTCTGTTATGAGGCTCTTAAAACTCAATCTATTACATATTAATAAGACAACAACCTCAATGGATGAATACTTTTGGGAGATTTTCAGTGTAGCAAAGAAATCTTAGTCATTGGACAGACATAATTTTATTCCTGGCTCTTTTTGTAATGGACAGCAAGTGAGATGAACATAAATTTCAAGCTCAGGCATACAGGGTAAAAAAGTTATCATAAACTGACTATGGAAACCTGATACAGAAATAATAGTGTTTGAAAAACTGATGAGGAGGGGCTGGGGCTCAGTGGCATAAGCGCCTGCCTAGAAGCACGAGGTCATGAGTTCGATCCCCAGTACTGCAAAAACAAAAAACAAAAAACAAAAAAAACCTGATGAGGAATATAAAGTATTTCCAGTTTTTTTTTTCACTAGAAGGATTTAATATTTCTAAATTTAACTTGTTTTACAACATATGTTCATGATTCAAAGTTTCTCCCTGTTGTTTGGTAAAAAAATTTTTTTTTTGGAAATTATAAGGTTGATGGTGAACAGGTTTTAGGGAGATGAGGAAGTGCTATCCTCATGTAATTTGTAAATTGAACTATGGAAGGATACGGGCAGACGAGCACGCATACTAAGCCAGATTATCTTCTGATCTTTGACAATGACATGAAGACTCATATTATATAAGAAGGCAAAGCAATCCTCATGCTATCCTCCATATATTTAGGTACAGAAATAAACCTCAAATGTACTTACTTCCTTAAAAATCCAGGCTACCTAGAATCAATTTACAAAACGTAATTTCAAACATTTCTGTAGGTTCAAAGACTTGCCACCTGTTACGGAATATAAAAATACACCTCCTTTTCCCTATATGTTTATCTCTCAATACTCAGAGTATCCCTAGTTTAAATCTCTTCACTTTATGAAGAGACTTCTCTTTATATTCTTCATGATTTCATAAATTTGGATATATATGCGGCTCTTCATAGATTTCATCTTAACAAATATTTGAACTTTTTAAGTCTATCAACTGATTATTTTAATGACTTGTATCTCTTTCTTTTTACCTATCTTTACTATCTTTCTTGAAATACGGTAATAAAAACTGTAGAGATATAGACTCCCCCATAAGTTTACATGGAGATATGATGCTTTCTATTTTGTTTCCAATACTGATTTCAGGGTTAGTCAAAATCCTAAATAGTACCTTGGTGCTCTGAATAAGCTAAAAAAAAAAAAAAAAGAAAAAAATTAATTTTAGGAGAATTCTCATTATGTGTCTCTATAATAGGTTATTCTGCTTCTAGTGTCATGTAATTGCAATTCTTTCCAAATTCCAAATTGATTCAGTGAATAAGTACAGCATATCTAAAAACCATATGAAAAGACTCTTCTCAACAGAATCATCTGAAATATGAACAGCTAGCAAAATTTTCTAAGATCTAATGTCACAACTAACTGGTTTAAATGCCATCTTTCAGAAATCAGAACATTTTAACCTACATTCATTTAGTGTCGGTACAAAAGGCACACCCAAATAAGCAAAAACCACAAAAGGTGACCTAGAGTATAAGTAATAGTACCATATTCACTTTCAAAACCAAAGAATTACAATAAAAACTGTGCTCTAAGTAAGAAGCTACCATAACTAGCCAAAGATGGACATAGCTTCAAAAAAATTAGCAAGATAAAATATGTCAGGCAAGATAGTCACAAAAAGTACATGACAGAAAATTTCAGTCTGTAGCAATACCAACTGTAAATCTGCTGTTTTACCATGCTATGTACAACATGTATATCCACCAAAATAATCAATGCAAAAATACTTTGGAATAAATGTAACCAAGGAGACAAAAAGTTTGTACACTGACAACTGCAAAATACTGTATTATTAAAAGAAATTAAAGAAGACATAAATAAATGAAAAGGCAACCATATTCATTAATTGGAAGATTTTATATTAGTAAGATGATACTACTACCCATAGTTGTAGGGAGTGGCATATCTCACTGCTGCCACCTTATCTCGCCCTCTTGTGGGCCTCTGATGCGTCCGCCTATATTTCCCATGATCCTCATGTCTACCCATTACCCATAATTCTCTCTTGCTCACATACTCTCATTTCAGCTTAACCTAGTTGCCTACGCATGGCTTCCTACTATTCTGATAAGTCCACGTCACATGAGGAGATCTAAACTGACCTATCCTATGAAGCCACATTCCCTTGGACTTTATATAAGCCATGTACACTTCCTGAATAAACGAGACTTGAATGGAATCCCGCCTTGTCTCCATCTCTCTCTCCTCTTGCCCTGCCCCCCATCCCTGTTCTCTCTCCAGGCAAGACCGATGGACTGATCCGCAGGCCAGATCACAAAATAATCTACAGACGGAATACAATGTGCTTCAAAATCTCAGTGACTTTTATTTTTTTAACAGAAATTGTGAAACCTGCCCAAAATTCACATGGAATCTTAGGGGACTTTGAATAGTCAAAACAACCTAGGGAACAAATAACACACATAAAAGTCTTACAGTTCCTGATTTCATAACTTATTGTAAAACTACATTAACCAAAACAATATGATATTGGTATAAGGATATTGGTGTACGGAACAGATAGCCTGGAAATAAGCCATTGCACATATAGTCAATCAATTTTTAAGAGCACCAGTACTATCAACTGAAGCTAAGGACAGTCTTATCAACACTATTCCTGGGCAAACTGCATATCCACATCCAAAATATTAAAGTCAAATACTTATTTTATAACCTATACAAAAATATCAAAATGGATCAAAGATCTACACTAAAGACTTAAAATGGTAATAAAATTCTTAGAAGAAAACAGGAAAATTCATGCCATTAAATTTAGCACTAATTCATTGACTATAACACTGAATACATCAGCATCTAAAACAAAAATGGTAAGTTGGATTTCATTAAAATTTAAAACTTCTATGTATCAAAGAACACTGTTAAGAGAATAAAAAGACAACCTAGGAAATGAGAAAAAAGTTTTCAAATCATATATTTGAGAATCAAGTTTCATAAAGAATTGTTACCACTCAACAACAAAAAGCCCAAATAAACCACGGGCTTGAATAAGTATTTTTACAAAGAAGATATATAAGTACTCAATAATCATAGAAGAAGATGCTCAATGTTAGTCAGAAGGGGAATACAAATCAAAACCTCAGTGATTTATCATATCACATCCACTAGGGTGGCCATTACAGAACAAAAACAAAAGTGAAAGTAAATATTGATGTGGAGGAAATAAAACCCTCACACATTGCTGGTGGCAAGGTAAAATAGTATAGCTGCTGTGACACTCTATTAGTTCTTCAAAAAGTTAAATATAGAATTACCATATGACCCAGCAATTATACCCCTACATATTATCTAAAAGAATTGACAGCTAGAACTCAAATTCTTCTATATAGTTGTAACAGAATCATTTATAAAAGCTAAATGGTAGGAACAACCCAAAGTTCTAGCAACAGATGAATACATAACAAAAAGTAGTTAATATTATTAATAATATTAATAGTAGTTAATAACATTAATATGTATACATATAATATTCAGCTATAAAAAGGAATAAAATTCTGATACCATGATGCAATATGGAAGAACAATGAAAGCATTATACTAAATAAATTATAGACAAAAAGGACAAACATTGTATCAACCCATTTACACGAAATACATAAAACAAGCAAATTCATAGGGACAAAAAGAAAAATAAGGGTTGAAAGAGACTGAGGGAAAAGGAGGCATTAAAAGCTATTGTTTAATCTGTTTAGGATAGTAAAGAAGTTTTAGAAGGACAAAGTGGTGATGGTTACATAATACTGTAAATGTATTTAATGTCAGTCAACTGTTCACATAAAACTGGTTAAAATGGCAAATTTTATGTTATACTGTATATAGATACATATATTAGTAATAATAGCAATTCACTCAATGAATGCCTATTGTCATCTACCACAGCACAAATGAACTTTGCTCAAATTTCCTAGTTACCAGGAAATGTAGTCTGTGTATGTGTGTACATGCACATAAAGTCAGTGTCTATTGAGAAAAGATCCTGGTGTGTTGTATGCACCAGATGTCCCAAAATGAACTTAAAGCTTAAAAGAAGTATTTGCTCTCTAATTTGACTGATGTCTCAGTTATATATCTATGTCAAAAATTCAAGCTCTAGGTGCCCACAATCCCAGAACTCACAATCTGAGACAGAAGCATCACAAGTTTGAGCTTAGCCTGGGCAACTTAACAAGTTAGTGAAACATTCTGTCTCAAAATAAAAAAAAAATAAAGAGCTAAGGACTGGGAATGTAGCTCAGTGCAAAAGCCCTGGGCTCAATTCCTAATACCACACACATACACACACACACACACACACACAAATTCAACACAATGCTCATAGACCAAGAGCTAAAAATGAACACTGTACCTGATACAGCATAATGGGCTCTATGTTGTATCCTAAGGTATCAGCAAAGTTCTTAGCGATGACTGTTTTCCCACAACCCTACAAATGGAAATATAATAATTAAAGGAGGAATCAAGACATCCCAGTCAGGAAACAGAACTGTGAAATGGGGCTGCTTTTCTTACCTTTCCTCCAATTAAACATATGTCCTTAACCATGTGAGATTGCATCATTTCAGCTAATAGCTGCTTATGGCTCAAAGTCTGTATGAAGTGGTCTGATGCACAAGCTTGACCTAATGGTCTGGTTCCAGCTGGCACCTAAAGAGAAGTAAACCAAATAATACATGCTTTTCTCAAAATGTTAATCATCTGAAGCACGTATCTGTCAAATTTTGAAATTTCCACTGAGCAGCAATCTCATTTACAGATCCAATGATCCCAATTATCAAATTTCCAAATATTCTTCTAAAATTAAAGTCTTATGCTGCCAAATATTCATAAGAGTCAAGTCATTTTTATGCTCTTCATAACTTGAGAAAAATCACTACTACAGAATGACGTGTTTTTTCTGTTTCCGGTTTGAATACAGTATTTAAAAATCAGCCCGTACTAGAAACCCCAAGTCACCAGTGACATCGTGATTTCTAAGAGGCATTGTCCACAAATTCTCTTCATTCGTGTCTTGGTTTATCACTCAATCATCTACTTGTAATAGTCTCTCCTCTCATCCTCCCATAGGTGCTTCCCCTTCTATTTGATTTTTAGTTGTTCTTGCTTTCTTTATTCTTGTGCTCTAGATTCTTTACATTTTAGTCCTTGATTATTCTTTCTCTAGGGACATTTTCTTAAAAAGTAGAATTTATTTTCTAAGTGATACATAAAAATAAAAATGTACCTATTATTAAGGTCCTGCCCGACACTGATGAGTATATACGTGGTGTAATGTAAATCAGGTTAAATATACTTCCTCAAGGCTTTATCATTTCTTTACAATAGAAACACTGATAATCCCTTCAATTACCTTTTAGAAATACAGAGTACATTATTACTGTCCATAGTTACCCTATTATGCAATAGCACACTAAAATGTCTTGCTCTAATTGTAATGCAGTGTCCATTGATCAATATTTCCCCATCATTCTCTCTTCATTACTCTTCCCAGACTAAGTAACCACCATTTATTCTCAACTTCCATAACATCAATATTTTTAGATTCCTTAAATGAAATTATGAGATACATATATATATATGTGTGTGTGTGTGTATATATATATAATCCTCTCCTTAGTCCACATATATATATCTCCTCTCCTTAGTCTCCGGGAGACCATGTTCTGGTGAATACTTGAATACACTACATACAACATGAGTCATAAAGGATTGTCAAGTTTAAAAGTGATAATATCATATTCACATTTAAGAAAGACCCTGCCACTAACATGGAAAGCTGGAGGAATGAGATTAGAGGAGGAACAGAAAGGAGGACATTAGAGAGCCAAAGCCAAAAGCAAACAATAAGGACTGGCTCTCATCTCATGATTTTGAACATTGTTAAAAGTACCCAAAACGTCACCACATTCTGGGTTACTGGAAAAACTCTATGCCACAGATTTAGCTTTACCTCCACCTCCTCTGTGAAGCTTTCCCCACACTTCTGGAATCTCAGTCTTATTTCCTTCTCTAGATCCCTGCTGCCATCAATTCCAACGCAGTCCGTACTCACCCACTTCCTGACTGTCAGAAGTCATTCATCTGACAGTGTGGTACAAAGTGACCCTGCCTGGAAATCCCAGTGGTGCCACTTCCTAGCTGGTGAGGCACAAGTCAGTCAATGAATCACTGTACATCTTAGTTGTCTAATCTATTCAACAGTGATAATAAAATTTACCACCAGGACTATTGAGGGATTTAAGTGGCATATGCAAGAAGACAAATATGGTGACCAGTACATATTAGACACTCAGTAAATCTTAATAAAGAGAGCCAGACACCTAGAATCAGTGTTCACGTCAATGTATAGCAACATAAATATTAATAATAGCACATTAAAACAAAATTTTATCATGAAAGTTTGCTGTTATATAAGAAAAAAAGCATTTATATACACTAAATATTATTCAAGCTGTGTTTCTGAATTTCCTGTGACATTTTGGGGTTCTTAAGGCCTTCACAACAAGGGTTAGAAGAAAGAGAAACAAAGCAAGTAAACAGAATTCTGTGATCAAATCTCTCTTCTAAAAACGACAACCAAAGCAGAGCTCTCCTTGTAAATGTTTCATGTATTAGACAATAATTTTATTTGAAAACAGAGTTCTCCAGCAGCTAAAATGTTTGAAAACACTATTTCTTACCAAGGACTCATAGTATCAAATATTTTTATTCATCAACATTTGACTTTATTTTTCCAAAGATAACTTTAAATTTTGGAAGAAAAGGTATCCTCTCTTGGTCCCAAACTTACAATCACATGAATAAATACAAGAATACAAATATATACACACACACACACACACACACACACACACACACACACACACAAATATATTCCAAAAAGGCTTATAAGGAGATTATTCATCTCATTTGGGCCATAAAAATGGTCAGAATAAGGTATATCTTTGAGTGAATAAATCTGTATTTCAAGGGGCTGGGGATTTAGCTCAGCAGCATAAGCACCTGCCTTGCAAGCAGGCAGTCATGAGTTCGATCCCCGGTACCGATAAAAAGTTAAAAAAAAATCTGTATTTCATTACCTTAATGGTCACTTCTTTTCCTGCAACTTGGACAGTCACACAAGCATGAGAGACACGGTCTGCAGTCATCCTCTGCACTCTTACAATCTCTTTAGGAAGCACAGAGCTTCCTGTGTCTTGGAGTTCAAAACGCTATAAAATTAAAACAAAATCAAGCAATTTACTTTTCATTTTAGAATGTCTGGAAAAGTCTACCTAATTAGAACTGAAATCACTTTATATTATAAAAATAGAAGTTTAAAAGTTAATGAGACTATTTCTACTTTCTACTAATACCATTCTACTTAAACCAATTTTTAAAAGTGATATGAAAATAGTCCCTTCAATTTATGAAATGACAGGAAATAGAAATGCTTAATTTCTGGCTTTGTAGAAGTCCGTAGCCTACATTTCTTGATAATGAAATGTTCTAATCTTCTGGAAATAGATAGCAAAACTCTTAAAAATCTATTGAAGTAAAACAAAGCCAATGTCAGTTGATTCTTTAAATCATCATTAAGTTAAAGTATTACCTGAAATTCTTGAAAACAGAATTTCTTGTACATAATTGTGCTGTCTGCTTATGGAAACAGATTAACTGATTAAAATAAATTTATGAAAACTTCCTACAATATCTGGCAAGGTGCCTTCTATCAAGTTGTCAATATTTGTCAAATTAGACTTAAAAGGCCAGGGCTATACATTCTTTCTAGATGTGAGGCAATTATCAGTGTTTTAAATTATACTCTAAAATTCTTACACCAATTTTGGAACATTGCACTATAGAGAAAGAACTGCATATCAATGAAAGAACAGAGTTTATGTATTCAACAGAATGAAAGAACTCTAGGGAAGAGTTTTCAAAGAAAAAAATCATATTAAACATTAATATTTAAATGAAAAAGCCAGCTAAAGTCTCCATTTGGGTATTACAAGTTCTCAAGGCAATCACGAACTACTTTCCCTAAATACAGGAAGAATTTTCTATTTCTGCTCTCATAAAAATATAATGTCTACATTTTACACAATATAAGCAAATCTCCCCAATTTATTGCACAATTTGTTAAGAACTGCTTTCACATGATAGACAGAAAGTTAATATTGACAAAATAATAGCTTCATGGAAAAAAAAAATGCTCCACAAAACACTACACTGTATTTTAAGGAAGAGTCTATAGAAAAGAAGTGAGGCCTAACCAAGTAATTAAATTTACTGGAATTTAAAACCAAGAATCATTGATCTTTATGGAAAAAAATGAACTGAAAGGTAGATTTTTATCCTAGCTACAGTTATGTCATTCTAAGTTGATATAGAATTGATGTCAAAATACTCATATTCTAGAAATGAAAATATATGTACTGAATCATTTGCTATACTGGTTATATCCTTATAACCTTATAAATAATTCATGCTAAAATACTTCAGAAGAATAAAAATAGAAAGCTAGATTACACTAAGATAGTAAAAGAAATGACGTTGCAAACTGAATTACCATTTGCTAGCATAAGAAATTTAGAGGACTGTTAATCAGAAAGGTAATTCAGGAGTAAAAGAGACATAATTCTCTCAAATTACACACCAGCAGGATGTAGAAGATGACAGTTTATTTACCTTATCACTTTATGGGTTTTTCCAAGAATTCTTGAATTTCAATTAAACAAACAGAGCATTTTATGATATACTTCCCTTCAAGTTATGTTATTTAAACTGCAATTCATAATTATATAAACTGATACGTAAATAATACAGATGTTAGCCTATAAGGCATCTACATTCATCCTCATAATTCCTCATCCTGTGTCACCATGCTAACCATTTGCTTCCTTTTAGTATGCTAGTTAACACTAAGAGAAAGTCACTACACCATGCTGACTAGAGATAATGTGGTCCCGCTCTCATGGGCTCTTCCCCCAAAGCTCTTCACTGCCTAATGCAAGCCACAACTATTCTCCCATGGAGACAGTGTGAATCTGTGCAAGCCCGTCAAGGTAGGCAAACTAGCTGTCTCCTCCACTCACAACACGGTCTCCAAACACCCACTCCCATATCCTCACTAGAATGTAAGCCCCTCTAGGGAAACAGCAAACAGATCTATTTGGTTCATTCCCAAATCTCCAGAACCTGGATGTACACATGTGCCATAATAAGTGGTCAGTTAGGGTTTGTTACATGGAAAAAATACAAGATTTTCTTTATCCTTAAAAATCATCTCTTTATACCAATTTTCTTTTCCTACTGCCTCAGGAAATAAAAAAAGGATTAATCTTTTAATCCTTTAAGTGTGCGTGAATGGGAAGCCACTGGAGGTCTGTCTCCACTTCAAATCACAAGTCCATCATTCCAGTTCGTGGGTGGAAAGTGTGTTCTTATCATTCTGAACTAAGATACAATGATACTCAGGAAATGTCCTTCTCAACTCACCCAAGTCACATTTTCCATGCAATCCATAAATTTCATTATTTCTCCCTATAATGTATATTTCCCCTTTCCAAGAAAGTCATTTCTTAATTCGACATCAACCTTAAGTACACCTTGTATTTCTGTTTCTGTTCACCATCGAACTTTTTCACAAGTAGTCTATAATCACTGTTCCATTTTCCTCGTCTTAAATTTGCTTTTATGTCCTTCAAGTTTTGACTTGTAGCTCCACCAAACACTGCTTTTGGGAAGTCAACTAATAATATTCTAATTGCCAAATTTAATACGTTATTTTTCTTGAAATTTCACTGTCTTCCTTGCCAGTCTCTTTTGCAGGTTTTTCTCCCTTTTCCTATGCAGTGCATATATTAGGGTACTTCAAGAGTGACTAATTTGATAGATGATATTAATTGATAAAATACAGGGTACACTGAGGGGCTTTGAGAAAAAATGAGAAATCAAGAATGCCCATAAATCCTATTTTGAAAAATTAGTAAGATTCATACACCATTAACTAATGTATGATAGTACAAAGAAATGCTATGTTGTGGGTGGACGCTAAATAATTGACTTTTGAATTTAAGGTTGAATTTTAGATTTAGTCATGCTGTATATCCATATTCACTTTTTAAATAATCTCATCCAGTTGCCTGTTTTACAAGCCATTCTGTGTATTCATGACTTCTGGCTTTATCTCTCCAGTTTCTCCTAATTCCTGACTTGTACATGCAAATGTCTCCTTGACATTTCCCTTTGGCAACCAAAAGCATCTCCAGTTAAACATATCCAACATTCAGGTCTTCATCTTCCCTCAGTGTCCTCCATTTGAAAATTCCTCCATCCAAAAAGCCTAAAATCATTCATAACTCATTGTCTTGACTCTATTTTCAATCTTTCAGCAGATCACATTAACTCTACAATATAACTTCACAATATAACCCCAGTCCAACTATATCTTACCAACCTTACAGCTGGCTAAAGCTACCATAATCTTGCAATTATATTATTACAACAATTATCATACACAGTGTACTTATTACCCAGCAAACAGTATGAGCCTGTTAGGTGAAGAATCAGATGAGACATTCTTCAAAACCTTCTCATAGTACTCCATCTCCCTCAAACTGAAAGCAGAAATCCTTTGAATGACCTGCAGAGCTCTTCATGATCTCATTGCCTTTAACTTCTGACTTTATCTTCTACTCACCTGTCCTTCATTCACTCTGTCCCTTTACATTGTCCTTTGCTGTTGTGGGATAATCCACGTGTGCTCCTGCTCAGGGCTTTTACAGTGGTTATTTCCTCTATCTGAAATGGTTTCCAGCCCAGGACTACTTTTCTTCAATTTTTATTCAAATTTTATCTTCTCAGTGCCAATATCAATTGCTCTGTTGACACATTATTTATGTAACTGATTTATGTAACTAATTAAATGACTGTTATCCTTCATTAAAAACTAAGCTCCATGAAGTTGGAAACTTTTTTAACTGTTTTGCTTTATACTACACTGCCCTTAAAAAGTTGCCTGGCTAAATGACTCTGCAGAGTGGGCTAACTGACAGTGAGAAAGCATGGATATAATGAATAACGCTGTTTGAGTGAATAATCTAGAAGTCCGCATTCAACAAGACTTCTCTGCTGCATTGGAAACAATTGTTAATCACGTTTGTCTCAGAAGTCTCTCCTAACACTTCATAAAAATATTTTCTGCTATCACTGCTCTTCCTCTGCCTAACTTGGAAGTTCTTTTCCACCGTTCAGTCTTTAAATGTTGGTGTTTCCACAGTTCCCCATCCAGCCTGCTTTTCCCCTCACTGTTCTTATTCCAGGGTTCTTTCGTTCATCATGCATTCAACCAATGCCTACACATAAGCGATTCCCAAGTATTTATCTTCAGTGTCAAAAGAATTCTAAGATCAAATCCATGTTTTCAAGTCTGCTAACCAATCTTCCTGGAAACTTCAAATTCAAAAGGCTCTTCCTTTTGCTTTTGAAATTATTTTAAATCACACTAAATGTGTTTCTCTTTGTGTTCTTCATAAAGGCATCTCTGTCTACCCATTTTGCCAAGCTAGGATTTAGGGACATTGTTGATTTCTTTTTTCTCCCAGATGCCAATATCTACCCCAGATTTTACCAGCTGGTAACATTTATAAGCCTATCTCTGAAAATTGTTCATAACTACTCACTTCCCATTTTTACTGACATACTTCAGGTTGTTACAGCTCTGGCCACAGCTGTTCCTTATGTTATAATGCTAAAAAATCACCACATTCATACAGTATCTACTTGAATGTCTGATGCTCCAAGCAAATGATAAATTACTTAGAAGCAGAGATCATATACTGTCCATTTCTAAATACCTCCATTTCGGTATACATATCATCAGTTGTCAAACAATGAGTTTGTAACTAGTGGTTGTGGAACTGGATGAAAATGCTTAATAAAAAATACTATTAAGATTCTCAGCAAAAACTCTAGTTCAGATTATATTATCAAGTGAACAAGTTCCAGCACACCTTTCTAAATCAACAAAGGAACTTACTGATTTAACCTTTGATATTATTCCTATGATGGAGTTTTAATTAAATAAATTTGAAACCAACACACATTATGAGAGCTCCAAATGCATTTGTTATTAAACTCTAACAAAGCACACCACGCTCAAAGTGTGGCAGACATGGAATGAGAGCATTTTCTTTAAGATAGCCTTAACTAAAAGTTACAAGTGATTTCATGACTACAAAAATATGTTTTTAGAGCATGAACATCACATGATAAGCACCATCTGGGGAATGAAAGTCATTCTAGCCACTTTTATAGCTAGTTCAGAAAAAGATGTTTAGAATTTTAGCTGACTGCATTTTCAGAGACTAATAATTTTCCTTTAAAATGTAATCTATGTGATTACACTAAAATACAAATGGATATTAAGTTACAGGTAGATAACTTAGTATTACATACTGTTATATGATGTTTGTTTTTAACTTAATTTTTAAATGTCATTTTGAATATTTATTAACATTTTCAATTTAAAATAATTCCAAACTTATATGAAAATTGCAAGACTGAGCAACTATTTCTAAGATGATAATATGTAATCTATTAACTGGTGATTTCTTACTGTCTTTTTTTTTTTTTTTTTTGTAGTTCTGTATGACATGTACCCTTATACCACTTTGTTCTGTTCTGTGTTTTTCTCTTTTTCCTTCTAAATAAAATTAAAAAAAAAAAAAGAAAATTGCAAGACACAGTTGTACTAAAAATTTCTATTTCACCTTCATCCAGCTCCCTAACAATTAACAATTTACCACACTTTACTCCCCCTTTTTCTTTCCACATACACGTACACATGAGCACACACATATATGTATGCACATAATCACTGATTTTTTTTCTGAACATTTTGAGACAACCTACAGATGTGATGGCCCATAACCAAGAGTATTCTGGTTTACTCTTCCTCAAAACAAGAATTCTGGCCAATGTAATCACCATATAAACTGTGAAATCAAGAAATGAATTAAATGTAATAATACTATGCAATACAAGGATCCTGTAAGTATTACCATTCAAAAGCAAGATCACTTGTTCCTATCTGGTCCAAGATCCAGTGCAGAGATAACAATGCATTTATCTACCTCTCTTTAGTACCTTTAAACCTGGAACATTTCTTCAGTTTTCTCTGCCTTTCATAGTTTGAACAGTTTTAAAGAATACAGTCCCATGTACCATATAATAGCACTACCCAATATTTACTTGTAGCCAACATTCACCATGATCTTTTAGTAGGATTTCCCCAGAAATGATGCCGTCTTCAGCAGCACACTGAGGAACTACACAATGTGAATCTATCCACACGGCCATACTGGAATTTCTAAAACAATACTACTTCCTTTGTTCCAGTTAACTAAGTATTTCATAGGGACACTTTCTAAGGTTATATCAATATCCTGTGCCCTGTGGATGTGCCACAACTTGAACATCCTTTCTTGACACATTTCTCAAATAACCACCACTCTAATAGTTGTCACACAATGATTTTCCTATTAATATAATTTCCTAATAGTACTTAATAGTAAGCATTCTATATTAAGAAATTTTTCTTTCTCTTACATATTTTAAAGTTTATTTGTATCAGCACGGATTAATGAATTCCTGTTTTATACAATGGGTTATAATCCATTACTGTCATTTGTATATATGCTCAAATTGTTATTTTGCCTGTCATTTTGATAGGTTAACACTATCAATATTAACAATTTCAACATGTTTTTACTCTCTGGCACATAAAACATTCCTGACTCATTTTAAAAAAATTTTAGTCCAATCTTTGAGTCAGTCTTGCTTCCAAAAAGTTCTGATGCTGCTTAGGGGAGTACGATGCTTAGAAATCAGTGTCCAGGCATATCTTTTAGGGTCTCTCAGGAGACAGAGCTAGAAAACACACGTACACACACACACATACATACATACCAACACAGTCTTAGTTATAGTGTATATTAATCTACATACATTTTAAAACATGATTTACAATAATATTCCCTATTCCAAATCAACACTTTAGAGTTTTTTCATGTGTTCCCATTTTCCATGTTTATCAATTTCTCCCCTGACAATGAGAAGTACAGCTCCCACTGCCCTTAACATATGCACTAATTTGCTAAATCAATTTACTGGGGGCCTGGGATAGAGCTCAGTGGCACGGCGCCTGCCTTGCAAGTATGAGGTCCTAAATCCAGTTCCCGACACACACCCTCACCAAATAAATCAACTGACTTGTTTACTTAATGTAACAAATCTCTCAGCCACACAGCTCTTGTGCTGGCTTCCCCATGTCGTCTTTTTTGTCACCAGTATCCATGCTTGGAAAAGAAAAGAAGGAAAGCAAAGGGAAGAATGAAAGAAGAGGCAGGAGAGAGAGAAAGAGACAGACAGAGAGCCAGACAGAGAGCGAGGAACAGGAGAGATGGGGAAAGGAAGGAAGATGGGAGAAGAGGGAAAGGAAGACGAGGGAAAGTGAGGATGGAAAGAAAGCAGATACTCACTTTTAAAACACCTTCCACAGCCATCTTCCCTTCATTTCCAAGTAAAATAGTGTACGGATAAATCCACTGGATTGCATGCTTGATTGACATCATAGGAAAAGAATCCTATTCAGGAGCAAAAATATACAGAATAAAGCAACAACCAAAATAATCACAGAAATCTTACCTGAAATATATTTATGCCATTAAATTTGTCTTATAAAAATAATCACAGTATTCCGGAAGTATCACACAGCAAATAGTATTTCCCCTTTTCTTCCTGTTCTCCGCCCTTCCTCTAGGGAAACTTCTATGCTTCATTCATCTGTGTCTTGATGCTTCTTAGGAGAAGACCACACAATTTACTTCCAAAGCGTTTGGCGGGGACAGGGGATTTGCAAGCAAATGTGGCAATATATCAACAACTGGTGTTTCTAGATAAAAATGTTACAGATATTTGTCTATTTTCAACAAAAAGTACAAGAATTGAAAAACAATAAACAAAACACAGTCCTACCTGTATAGAACAATGCAAACACCTAAATCTCACTACATACATTTGGAAAAAGCAATAAATGTTTAAAAAGAGGAGCATCTGCCAGGAATGGTGGTCATGCCTATAATCCCAGCACTCTGGGAAGCTGAGCAGTAGGACTGTAAATTTAAGCCCAATCTCAACAACCTACTAAGACCATGTCTCAAAAAAATGATTTACAAAAAGGGGCTGGTGATGTAGTCTGTGTGAAAGCCCTGGGCTCAACCCCTAATACTATAAAAAGATAAAAATTAAAAAGAGTCTCTTGCAAAGGGCAAAGTATCCCTGCTGCTTCGGAAGATGGTCTCCTCAGCAGTATCTGACTGAAGGTTCGAACACCTTCCCATGTGGACCCTGCATCCAGGCTCTCCCACCTCTCCTTGCTATTGATGGAGGTGTCTTCCTCTAATGTATATCTGATCACCTTACGTCTACCTGTTTCATAATGCCAAATGAATCCTTTCCTCACCATGAAATTCAGGCAACTCTTCACATCAGGGAAATTTCTTCACAATATGATTCTCTACCACATCTAGAACTTCTCATTCTTCAAAATATCAGGCCCTTTAGTGGTTGGACAGCTTCATGTGTGTCCTCTGCCTGGAAGGCCTTTTCAGCACTCCAGACAAAACTGTCACCCCTTTATGAAAGTGAAGTGCACCACACTGGTGCTCCACCAAGCCCTCAGGTCAGGGCAACTCTGAGCCGACCTCACTACAGAACACCTCTTGCTGGATCAAACTGGGCCTTCCTAGCTTCTTTGTAACTTTCCAGAAATCACATGTCTACCGCTTTCTTCTCCAAATCTAAAAAATCTTTAGGGACTCAGAACATATCCTTCGTCTCTGCACTCTTTACTGGCCTGCACGGCAAATCCATCTCAGACCTTTTATACAAGAACGTGACTAGGCTACATGCAGTGATTAATCCCCAATGACTAACTTTTAAATTTTCTTTGCTACATTTGGGTATACCCGTCATTGATTGATATTGAATACATACCAGGATTTGAACTGCAGCTGGTAAACTATCTAAAGGAAAATCTGGAAGTCCAAGAGTGGAAGATTCTTGGGAACAGAGAGTTGTGGCAAAGGACAAGAGCTGAGAAATTCTAAGGGGAAAAATATATTTTATTCTAAAGGTTTTTAAATATAAAATGTAGAAGTATGTTAAATATAAAATGAGTATGCCAATTTAATTAATCTAAAATGTCTCACTATTAATTCCTGAAGAATAACACCCCCGATCCCAATATTCCACTTAGAAACTTATTAGTACACACTATTCCCTAAGTCCTCCAAAACAGCTGAGGTTTTCACTACCTAATCCGTATCTACATGCTCACGTTACCTCTTATCTTTCTCAATCCCAAACGTAAGATCTTGCCACTAGGAAGTTTTATAGCCCCAGGAGTGAAGAATAAACACTCATATCTCATGTTTTTAGAAAAATCTCTTAGAATTCCTTGATTCCATTCCCTAGTTGGCAAAAGCCTACTCATTCTCTAGGACTAACTGCAAATACCAATGTCCTGGTGAAGCCTTTATAAAGTCTCAACCACAAGTAGTCCCAACATTTTGACTGGCACTGCACAATGGGTTACATTAATGCTATTCACATATCTTTCAGATCCACTAGATATTGAATTTCTTGCTATACAAATTCATATCTTAATGATTTTATCATCAGCATTTACCAAACCTCTTAGTACTCAAAATTGCTTCAAAGAATAGTTATTGAATAAATTCGGCAATCAATCAACCAGTGAATAGGAAAACAAATTCATAAAAAGCCACGCTTACTTCTCAGCAGAGACACTGGCTCCCACTGAATACAGTTGCTTAAGTTGGTCCTAAAATAACACAGAAACATGTCAAATCAATTACAAAGGAATGTGATAGATTAAACACAAATTTTACACATTCAATCAAACTGTTAGTTATATAATAGAAAAAATCATTTCTTGATACTTCAATCTTTTAAAAAAATCTTTCTAAATAAATGATTTTTCTTCAGAGATTTTCTTTACCCTGCTTCTTTTTTTTCTTTCCATTAACTACTGAGGAGCACATTAAAAACACAGTAACACTGATATAGAATTGAATTTCTTATTGTACAGAAATACTTTTAAAAGCTAGTTTTCCTTGGACTACTAACCTTAAAGGGTAGAAAATAAATATCTCTGGCTTGAAACCGAGAACGGAGAGGAGGATCTAACGGGTTTCCAGAGTACCTGGGCACTGGCAAGCCCAAAGCAATCACTCGGAAATCTTCACTAACTCGGATGATTTTCCAAGCATCCAACTCTGCTTTGGTATGATCCTAAGAAAATATAAGTTAAAAAAATTACATCCTACCACCACTCGGGAGGCCAAGGCAGGAGGGTCGCCTCAAGTTCAAAGCTAGCCTGAACTACAGAGCAAGACCCTGTCTCAAAAATTAAAAATATTTAAAGATTACTACCTAATGATATAGACTACAATTCTAAGACTTGCCAGGCCAAGAAATTTGGGCCCTGACTATGAACAGAACTGTACATGAGAACACTCTCCAAACAGAACCATTAGGGAGCAAAGTAAGATCAGGATACCAGGGAAGTGGGGACCAGGGTTGGAAAAAAAGGGTGGTTTACATACCAAGAACAAAGGAGGCCTGGGTCAGAAGGCTGAGCTTTAATCAGTAACACAGAGGAACAGTTAGGAGAGTAGAAGAAATACATGACCAAAAGTTGTAAAAAAGAAGAGTCCTAGAAGGACAGACCATCATCTTGTGAAGACTGCCCGCAGACCTTAAACAGGTAATGTTATTAACGAGTACCATTCTACCAAAGCATATTACTAGTAACAACTAACATGCTTTGAAAACTTACTATCTGCTAAGCAGTTTCCATGAATTTTTTCTAACTTAACTTTTACCAGAATCCAGATGGATATTCAATCTCTTTATTGTATGCATTAACAAACCACAGCCCAAAGGAGTTATATAACTTACTTATGGCTCTATATACGGTAAGACAAGCAATAAACAAAAATTAGGTTTGGGAATCACAAAGTCTGGCTCAATAACTTGATACATACTTCTGCTAAATGTCTAACAGCATGTTATGTTTCCCTTGGAAATTTATGTGTCTCATCTGAAATAATATCCCCTACATTATGATGCAATGAAACTAAATGTGAGACTGTGTGTGGAAGCCACTTATCCGTAGCAGGTACCATTCACATCACGCCCTTCCTCTCTGCCTAACTGTAGCTACAGCCCACTGTCGCTACTGGGGATAGGTGTCTCAGCATCTCTTGGGAGGATGACCACGTTGAAGCCCAATTAGCAGGACCCACAGTTACAAAGTTTCCAAACGCGTGTATATACCCATTTTGAGAGAAAAGCCCACAGCTTTCAGTAGATCTTCAGCGGACACAGCCCATGTGACAGTCTAGAAACTTTTGGCCTGGCACTGCAGGCCTCTCCTCTGGAAGGATTTGTGTCTGATTCTTCTAGTCTCAGCACACGCACCTGGTGAGACCCTGTACGCTAGCTCACCTCACCGCTGCACCTTGCCAAGCACGCGGTGCTTCATCAATGCTGCTCCCTTTGCAGCCCTGCATCCTTTGTACTTTACACATCGTCAGCACAAACAGCACTGAGGCTCGGGAGAGACGCCATGTTCATAAACATTGGCATTTTTCTGCTGCGCTCCTGTGTTAGAACTACCTCTGTACCTGTACTTTGTGTCCTTTGCTGGATTTATCATTACACATCTGTACCTTGGCTTCTAGACAAGACCATTTAATGCTGAATCCAAGCTCTGGAGAAGTCTTACTGCCTCTAGTACATAATAGGAAAAGAGCCTTTTGAATGACTGAGCTAATTTTAAAGATAATAAAATTATCTCAATCACAATCAAAATCACACATTAATAGAATGATACCATGATGCTATGCCATACACACTAAAGAAAAAAGGATCGAGATCAAGCCAGATCTGAAAAAACAAGTACTACCTTCAGAGAACATGTTGTTTCTACTTCTCATTTACCGGAGAATGATGATTAGAATATAAAGCTATACAAACTTTATTTCTATAGTAACAAAATTCTACAGAAACCAATAAAGTTTTTGGGATGTTAAAATTTAGTATGCTTTGCGAGACGCCGCTAGCTGACACCCAGTAGGCTAGCCCAACCCAGGTCCCAGCGCCTGGAGGTGCACCCTAGCGGTGAAGCCTTCGGTAGGTTGACCTAGAGTGGCGGGCCCCACATAGACTTCGAAGGTCTATATCTACCTGGTGCTCTGCGGTGGGTGGGAACACCTAGCCAGCGCATTTCAGTCTGTGGCCGACAGGGAAGGAAGCTGGGCCTCCTATACACACTTATATATAAGGAACAAAGAATATGGGAAGAGGGAGCAACAAGAAAGGGTCCTCGGGCCTCAATCCTGAGAAACATGCAATGGCAGACACGGCACCAATAGACATGAAGTGCTATATCCAGAGCCTCATAGACGACTTCAGGAATGAAGTTATTAATGACCTGAAGCAAGACATAAGCAGAATAGTTAGAGAAATGCTAAGCACCGCCCAAGAAAAAAGAGAGGGTGGAATGGAAGAACAGAAAAAAATGGGGAGAATTGTTTGATGGAGAAGATAGAGAAAACAGAGAATACGTGAAGCAGGTTCAAAGACATTACCAAGAAACTAAAAACTCTATCAAAAACTGGCATAACCACTTGAAAGAAACTAAGGATAGATTATTTGAACTGGAGGGCAGATTTGTAATATGGGACCATGAAAGGAAAAACTTCTTAAAAATGACAAAAAAACCAAACAGCAACAATACAAAAACTAGAAGATGATAAGAGGATCTATAACTTAAGAATTAAGAACATAAGAGAAGAAGTAGGGACACAAACAAATGGACTACAAAAGCTATTCACAGAAATAATCCAAGAGAATTTCCCTAATTTAGCAAATGGTAAAGATACTCAGATATATGAGGCATACGGGACTCCAACCACCTACAACCCAAACAGAGCTACACTCAGGCATATAATAATCAAAATTCCAGAAATCCAATATAAGAACAGAATATTAAAAGCCGTCAGAGACAAGAAACAGATCACTTACAAGGGAACACCCATCAGAATTACAGCAGACTTCTCGGCACAAACCATCAACATCATGAAGAGTGTGGGGGGAAATAATTCAAGCTTTGAAAGATAATAACCTCCAGCCAAGATTGATATATCCTGTACAACTGTCCCTAGAAACTGATGGAAAAACAAGGTGCTTCCAGGATAAAGAGGAACTAGGGGATTTTGCAACCACCAATTCAACTCTACAGAGAATACTGCAGGATATCCTAAAAAAGAAAAATACCAAGATTCCAGAAACAGTGGCAGAGAGGCCACAATGAATGCAGCAGAAAACGAAATGAAGAAGACAAACTGACAACAAATGACTGTTTCTGTTATTTGGTTCTAAATACCCTGTAATAATGTCATTCTCTTGAATGGTTTTATAGTATCTTGATATGTTTGGTGCTACAGTATACGAAATTATACTCAAAGATTTCAAGAAAAGAGACATTATGCTAACTATTTTTATGTCAGGATATCTTGTGGTAAAATACTATTTTGCTTAAATGGTTATGTTTTGACCTGCGCTGTTCTGTTGTTATGCCCTCTTTTATCTCAATCCCCCCCTTTTTTTATTTACTTTTTTCTTTTTATTTTTTTAATTAAGGGAAAAATAAAAAAGATACATTATAGAAACTTACTTTGATTTCCTATTAACTTGATTTGAAATCCTGTATTGCCCTCACCATCTTGTTTTGACTGATTTTCCTCTATTCTGCTTTGCTTGATAGTAACAAGTTCGAAAGTATAGGCATAACTGTGAAGACAATAAGAATCATATGATGCCCATTCCGGTTAACTATTATTTTCTTTTAAAATCCTGTAATGTCTCCAATGCTTTGGTTTTATTCTTTACTGTTTAGTTCAATTTTATTATAACTGCCAATTCTTCTTAAAATAGCAAGAGGCAGTATGGTAACCATTGTTGATCACCTTATATTTTGTTTTTACATTATCTATTATGTCCATTCTTTTGATTTGACTGACTCTGTTCTGATATGTCGCATTTGATTTACTCTCTTCAAAAAAAGTAATAAGAACTGTGGGAGTAATAAAACCCAAAATGTGTAATTGTCATTGTACAAAAGAAAAGAAAGTGCTCTAAAGGTTATAACTGCATATATGTTTAAGTGTATAAGATAGATAACCATATTACTGAGTGTTTTTTGGATCATTGAACAAAACTGTTCAAACAAAATGAGAGTGTTTGCACTCTCACTGTTTGAAAGTCCACTTTATATGCTTTAATTTTGTAACCTGAACAACTGTTTTTAAGATGAGAATATGTAATCTATTAACTAGTGATTTCTTACTGTTTATTTTTTAAATTTTGTATTACTTATACCCTTTTTCTGTTTTTTTTCTTTTTCTCCTTAAATTAAAAAAAAAAAATTTAGTATGCTGAATGCAGCTAGGTATAAGTGGGGCTTAATTTACAGTATGGAACCTTTTTACCATAAAAATTGTCCTGAGATAAAACTGTTTTATAAAGGAATTTGGTCTATATTTTGTAAGTTTCTGATAAAATGAATTTCATAAATATAGAAATAATATTTACTAATAAAAAGTATGTATTTAGCTGGGCATGACAGCACATGCTTGTAATCTCAGCACTTGGGAGGCTCAAACAGGAGGATCAGTGTGAGTTCAAGGCCAGCCTGAACTATATAATGACACTTGTCTCAAAGAAAAAAAGTATTTATTTATATTGATATTTTTTCAAAGTAAAGATGTAACAGAGCTCAGCTAATAATGAGAACTTTTATGCACTAAAACCCTTTTGATTCTCACCAGCCATGGTGGGACTCAGGCAGCTTATTCACCTGCCCTCTTGGTAAGCGCCCCTGGCATGGGCCAGGAAGAGACCCAGCGCTCCCGAGAATGGCCATGGTGGGACTCAGGCAGCTTATTTACCTGCTCTCTTGCGCCCCCAGCAAGGGCCAGGAGGAAAACCAGCGCTCCTGAGATCCGGCCATGATGGAACTCAGGCAGCTTATTCAGCCCACCCTCTTGGTAAGTGCCCTTGGTGTGAACCAGGAGGAGAACCATTGGTTCCTGTGAGCCTACTGACATGGGGGCTGAAAATCAAACACCCTTCTTCCTCCCCCCAGTCCCCTCTGTAGCTACTAAGGATGGATGTCTCAGCATCTCTTGGGAGGATGACCACATGCAGTATAGCAAATATGGGACTATCCTTCTATCTTCTGTTTGAAGCCAAAGGTTGTTTTTCACTGTTTTGTTATGTTTCTTTTGCTCTATTCAGTATTCTCAATTGGCTTTCTAATGTTATGTTTTTGGTTTGATTTCACTATACCTAATTGAGTGGACAACTCTTGTGAAGATAAATCCCTTCTGGAAGGATTTGTGTCTGATTCTTCTAGGCTCTGCACACTAGCCTGGTGAGACCCTGTGCGCTAGCTCACCTCACCGCTGCACCTTGCCAAGCACGCGGTGCTTCATCAATGCAGCTCCATTGGTAGTAGTACCTATTACTACCGTCCCACTGTCCTACTGGGAACTTCTGTACCAATTTCACTGTATTGTCTCCGGTGTTCTGTCTTTGTTTCTGGCTTTGTTTTGTCTTGTGCTGTTGTACTTTACTACTTTCTAAAATTTTTTTTTTAAAAACCCTTCGAGTCTCATACACTCCAAATTTCTATCTAAAGTAATATGTTCAATAGCTGTGCATACGATTCTAATACAAGAATAAGAAATGTATCAAACATGTTATTCTTAAGTAATGCTTAGGCTTTAAAAAGGAGTCTATATTCTGAACAATATTGTTTTTCAAATCATGTACTAAATCTGCTGAATAAATAATATAAGACCTGGGGCAAACAGTTATTTTGTAATTAGAAAGTATTTAAGAGAAATGTTCTGTATAATATCCACCTACTTTTTTTCTTTTTTAAATGTTCTTTTTTTTTTTATTTTTATTTTTTGAACTGGTGATTGAACTCATGATCTCACACTTGCTAGGCAGGTGTTTACGTCACCAAGCTAAATGCCCAGTCCACATCCACCTACTTTTAAAGACAAATAGTAATTACTTTCATTTCATCAAATGAATTATAACAATAAAATGGAGTGAATTTTAACTTTTTCTTGATTAAATCTTCAATTATCCCCTTCTAATTATATTAGAATAAAATGATCATTAGCTAAATCTTTAAGAAAATTTCTATACTGCACAAAAAAAAAAAAAAAAGCACTATCCCAAAAGTCACATAAATAGGGGCTGGGGATTTAGCTCAGTGGCATAAGCGCCTGCCTTGCAAGTGCGCAGTTGTGAGTTCAATCCTTGGTACCGATTAAAAAAAAAACTCCCATAAATAATAAAGAGGTACTGCTCAAGGAGCTATGAGATGGGTTACAGAGAAATTCAGATTATAGGAATCAGAAATGTTTGTGGCTCTGCCAGCCACAGAGCACCAGTTCAATCAGACCATCTGGCATTAATGTCTATTTTTTAGTGCCTGATATGTTGTAGGCTTGTATTAGCACCCTGGAAGCAAGATCAAAACATGCAAGACAAAGATCTTACTCTTGAGCAATTCACAACAGGCCTGGGATAGTACAAATAGGACACACGTCAATGTACAGAGCAGATGTGAGAAGATTCCAAAGCCCTGCAATGTCAATGCGGAGGAATGTATCACAAAAGGCTTGTAGCTGCAGAAGCTCCACTGAGCTACAGCTTAAGCTAAATAAACAAGGGCTAAGCATCTTCTTGTCATTTGTGACACTGAATGGTCCATTACAAAGCTCTTGAAGAGCTCCATATTCCACAGTTGTTACCTTACAAATGATTATAAGTTACTCATTTTAGTGCAATTATTCATTCACCAAATAATTACTGAACACCTAATACGTGCATCCCTTGTTCGAGAAGTTGAGAAAACATCAGGGAAAAAAAGCCCTGCCCTTGTAAGGCTTATGTCCTAATAGAGGGAGGCAGACAAAGAATTAAAAACATAATAAGTAAGTTACATAGCATGTTAGAACATGGGAAAAACTAAAGCAGAACAAGGGCATATGGTGGAAAAGAGAGAAGAGACTGCAGACTACCATTTTAAGTAGAAGGGGCAGGGTAGGCCTCCTCTATAATGTAACCGTCAACCAGAGACTTGAGGGAAGTACAAAGTGAACCAGGCAAGGGAGAAAATCGTTCCAGGAGGAGGGAAGTGGCACGCACCAGCGATGGCTTACTTAGAGGGGTTGGGGTAAGAGAATACAGCAGTGGGACTGGAGTAAAGAGGAGGGCAGAGACCAGGCAAGAGGTAGTGAAGGCCCCGACTGTATGCCATGCTAAAGAGTGGGTTTTACTCTGACTGAACAGGAGGCTGGAGAGAATACAGAGTGACCCAATCTGGTGACAGTTTTAAAGCAGACACTCACTGCTGTGTTGACAACAGCGTAAGATAGAAGCAGAAATTCCAACTAGAAGCCAGGCGTGAGATGCTGATGCCTTGAACCATCAGATGGCTTAAACAGCTCCCTCATTTCAGTCAGTGGCTACTTGGCTTTGCACTTCATCTGACTAAGAAGTGGATTTTATTCACCTTGGTCCCCAGATGTCGGCACTAAAAGCCACCTGGCTTTAATAAATGGTTATTGAGAAAAGGAAGAGAAATAAGAAAGAAAAATGAGGAAGAGAATAGTTATTAAACTGACCCACAGGAAGTAGAAATCTGGGAAGTTTCTGGCATGGTCTGCAAACCAAATGGCCTCGTAGAACTACGAACTCATGACTTTACCTCAGCAGCTGGCCAAGGATAAGGTCATCTCAGCACACGCCCTGACTCTAAGGGGACCATGTTTATACACACAGATCATGACCTACATTTGACAGCAAGGACAGGGTCGCCATGTTTTACTTTCCTTACTTTGAGAAGTTTGTCGTAATGCTCGGCAGACATCAGGAAGCGTCCATCTTCAAGCTGCATTTCCCTGTTTTCCAGCAAGTTGTTCAGTACAGGGAGAACATTCCTCTCCGCCTTTTCGAGGCCCTCCAAAATGAGAGTTCTGCCTTCTGTGGCGGCACGAACTGCACACTGTCCAAGAAATGGAAAAGCAAGATGAGAATATGAAAGATGGCACACTGCGGCCTAATTTTACTTCTAGCACAAACTAAACCTGTGTTTCGTGTTATAGGGACCCTGGGAATCAGGAGAGTGGAGTTCTAATCTTCATTTTGTTTTCTTCTCCCTCTTTGGTTGATTTTACCTCTTTTCATCTGTTTATTCATTTGTAAAATGAGGAGATTAAAAGAAGTATCTCTAGGGTTCCTTTTAGCATTAGCTTAGATTTTTTTTTTTTTTTTTTGGCCTTTTTCTTTTTTATTGGTACCGGGGATCGAACTCATGACTGCCTGCTTGCGAGCCAGGCGCTTATGCCACTGAGCTAAATCCCCAGCCCCTATTAGCTTAGATTTTATACCCAATGAAACAGAGAGCTAACAGCTATCTTGAATGAGTAACATATTAAACAAGGGGACAGATTCCTTAATTAGAAAAGGGAACTAAAGATACAAAGCCACCTATCCATCTGTAAGCTTCTAGTGAGGCTCAAATATGCTAGGTGACAGGCGTGAAGACACCAGTGTTTGTAAATGAATCGTCACCAAAATGAATTCAGGTTTTGTCTAATGCTTGATGCTTGATGCTGACAACGTCATATACTTGGCAAAACAGAGTCAGGTTTTATAGTGGCCTACCACGGAATGACCTTCTAAGAACTATAAGTCCTCTAATAAATTTAAGAAAATTAAAAATGGAGAGAAGAAAATAAAGTACATCTCCAAATAAGAGAAAGAAAAACTGTAATACCAAAAAATTCCTAAAGACTTTTTAAAATCTCTCCTTTAACTAACTGGTTCTAAACATTAAAAAGAGAGGGAGTGAAAAATTATTTTCATCAAATCCTTGAAAATTGTCTTATAAAAGGGAAAAACTCAGCCATGTTTCTACTGCATAGTAAACAACAGAAGGATTCGTGGTGCTAAGTTTATTTTACCACTCTCTCTTTACAAACGTTCCCCTTTGGCCTCATAACACTGCATGCTCCCAGATAAAGGTTTTGTTTTCTGCCTTTCCATCAAATGCAGTTGGTATCTAGAATCTGTCCTTCACTCACAGCTTTTCTTACTCTCTCAGACCCTTTCTGAGAAATCTCAATCACATAGTTCTAACGTCACTTCCATTTGAATCACTCTGCAGTCTCAAGCTCCTCCAGGACAGTAACTGCATCATACAATGTCTCCAATCACATCCCATAAGCACCTTAGGCACCAACCCCTGTAAGACACTGACTGAGGCCTCTTTTTCCCCTAAGCTGCTAAGGTGGGAATACCATTCACCCATGACAGGACCCTCGATTCCTCTCTCACCGCATACATTCCATTTATCTCCATGCTCTGATGATTTAACCTTCTTAATGTTTCTTAACTCATCCCTTTTCTACTGCTCCCTTAGTCCAGGCCCTCTTTGACTCTCAAATTTCCATCCCAGTAATACCTTCATTTGGCATGTAAACCTATCACAATACGGCATGTCCAACACCATTTCCTGACCTTAATTATCTCACACGTGGTCCTTTGTGAAAATAAACTGGTTATGATTTCCCACACTCATGCACATACCTTTCTTAGGAAATCTGTCTTTACTCACGGTGACTTCTCTACTTAAAACTGATTCTTTCCTTTAGTAATTAGCTCAAAGAAAGTACTCAACATTTAAAAGAGGAAAATATTTATTTGTTCATTCATTCATTCATTTTGCCTAATAACCAAGGATATTTCTGGAGTAGTGAAGCATTGATTTTCCAAGTATAGAAGAAAAACTAGGCGTTGCTGAATAAAGCTTGCATACTGTTTCCTTTTAATAAACTGCTAAGTTTTACACTATGTAATAGAACTTAGTTTATTTTGGTTGTTTATGCAATATTGTGAAAGCACTATTATTGTACTACTGCAAAAGTATAAGAATTTATAAGGTCCTATTAAAGATAATAATCTTTTTAAAAATAAGAGCAATTACAAATCTATCATTACTTGAAATGTTTTAACTGTCTTCTACAAAACTAGTCACCTTGTTATGGTTGATTTATCTTTTTAAACACATAGATAAAATTAACTTAATAGCTCCTAGGGAACATCAAAAACAAGAAAGAAAAAATCATTTTTCCTAGTTGTATAAAGGACAAAGCCATAGAAATACTTTCTGAGATACTAAAACTCAAAACAAGCCACTTTTTTCAAAATAAAAACTGATATTTAAGATAAGGTATCAGTGAAACTTTCTTTCACATGAATCTACTTGCCCCATGAAAGCACAGCTCAGAATAAAAATAGAAATTAAGTTATCATAACCTCTAGCAACATTGTTTTTTAAACAGCTAATTTTATATCAATCTTCTATTAAGATAACACAGACTGAATGTTGCATTTGATTTTTTAAAACTTTGCAGGGTGAAAATTCATGTTCTCTGGGATAAAATTAGAAACATACAGATCAAAATTTAGGGGTTCATCAATAGTCAGCCAGAAAAACAAAGTCTTGAAAACACAAGACAACAGCAAACACGCCAGCTCTGCCTTTACTCAGCTCGGCTATCCTCTGGTCTACAACACACTGAATCTTTTCAGAGGAATTCAGAATAAGCCATGTAGAGAAAACAGAAACAGCCAAAGATGCAAAGAATTTCTTTCATCTACTCTAAAGGAGTTGCTGAGACAAGAAAGTTGAGAAAGTAGAGTTAGATTAAAAAAAAAAAAAAAAAAAATATATATATATATATATATCTAGTATTTGTTTAAAATCTGCCGCACCTCTTCTTCAGAGTAAAATGCATACAGGCATTTGTATATATATAGAGAGAGTTTCAAGTTAAGAGCATAGATTACTAAAGAATAATAGATAAATAACATTACTAACGTAACAATTGTGGCAGGCATGAATCATCAACGGATGGCAAAATTAGTGGGTAAACGTGTAAGAAACAGGGTATTTGTATAGAATCAAAATGCCTCCCAAACAGATACAGTATTAAATGACAAAGTGAAAAATAATACAATACTGGAGGACCTTGCCAGATACCAATTTGACCAAATGATCAAAATTAAAGTCACCAGTAATGAGATGTAGCAATTCTACATACTGGCCTTTCAATACGAGGCCCTGAAATGAGCATAGCACCATATATATAGTAGTCTTGCTAAAACTACATGATTTCAAATTATGAGAAAACATAAGAAAAATTCAAACGGAGTAACATTCTCCCAAACTACTGGCCATAAAGAAAAGAAAAGAGTCTGTCACAGAAACAGGGCTGGGGACAGTGTGGGTGGTGGCAGTCAGTTTTGGAACAATTCAAAGACTTTAGCATCTTCAAATGATAAAGAGAAGGTAACAGAGGCGTACTGAAGACAGTGGATAATTACTAAAATAATACCTACAAGGTTGCTCCAGATGTTGGAACAAGTCATGTGCAAAGCTTCTTTCAGTAAGATCCACAAGTGCGTAACTTACCTCAACTTTGTGAAGAATATTTTAAAAAATCAAAATAGGTAGGTGTGGTGATGTAACACTCTGGGAGGCTGAACCAGGAGGATCAGAATTTCTAGCATAGCCTAGAAAACTTAACAGCTAGCTTAACAGGTCCTGTTTCAAAATTTAAAAAGGAGCTGGGGATGTAGGCTGGAGTGAAGACCCTGGATTCAATCTCTAGGACTAGGGAGCAAAAAAACATCTCCAACATTTTTCCTATTAGTTCAAAATAAATTATCTATTAATTTTACACACAATCTAAGAGGCAATGAGAATGGATACATTATAGTGCAGTTAGATACAAAAACAAGAGTATTAAAAGAGGACTACAAGGGTGGAGAAACCCAAAATGTAAAGACTGGATTGGAAGATGAATGGCGGAAAGTAGGGACATCTTTTTCAGATGGTGGAGGGTTGAGATGGGGAGCAGGGGTGCCTGGGGGGTGGAAAAATAATTGAAGGAAAAAATGAAAATGGAACTTTTGCAAATGGGAACGAGACCAAGAGTTGGAAGGAGCAGAAACGGATGGGAGGGGTAGGCGAAAAAGAATGGAGACCTACGCCAACTCCCATGATAAATATGGTCATTATGTACTGTAAACATGCCGTAATAAACATGCTGTAAACTTTTAGGGCAAGTAAAAAATTGACGTGCAAAAAAATCATGCAAGATTTTTAACGTTTTTATTTGCTCTTTGGTTAATGTTTGTTGGGCCACTGCATACACAAATTAAAATTTTAAATATAGACAGAACTACGTATTAGCCAAAAGGAGAAAATCTTAAACAGTCTCTTTCTTTGGTAACAAAATTTGCAACACTTAACTTAGAACTAGGATTATTTAGTTACTTTTTCAGGATGAACTCACTTCCTGGTGCTTCCATAAAATAGTCTACAAAATAACTAAAATACTTAACAATACCAAAATTTATCAATGTAATGTGATTACATTTGGAAAATAAGAAAATTTTAAAATAAGCTACTATTAACTAGAGAAACTAAGCCCACCAACTACAATAATATATTTACAATGTATTAATTATACATATATAATTATACATGTATAATTAGAAAGAAAAAAGTTACAAATGTCACCCTGGTACAGCCCCAAGCACCTTGGCCTTCCCTGCATCAACGTCCTCTTCATCCTGTTTTCTCAGTGCTCAGTGCGGAGTCTCAATGGTAAACTTTTCCTGTGCTCTCACATCCAGGTTCCATGGCCCTGGCAGAATTCAGAAGTCTTTGAAGGAAGAGAACCCCACCTTTTATGGCATCCTGATACAAAACTGGCTCACAGCAGACTTTAGCACATACTGAATACAACTGCAACTGCTCTATTCAGAGCTGACTTTGTGAGTTTAGGAACCATCTTTCTGTAAAGGATAACAGCTAACTACAGGTGTGATGGTACCAGAATAGAACAAGCGTAACTAGCAGCATGAGAAAATTTCATCTACATATTTTGATAGTTTTCTATATAGATGGTTAAATAACAGTATTTTTTCAAATCTGGAATGACTTGTCATGATTGGTCCTCAAAGTAAAAGTTAAGTACGTTAGAAAGATCACAACTTTGAGGCCAGCCAGGAAAATTTAGAGACTCTCTGTCTCAAATTTTTTTTTAAAAGGCTTATTAATGCCTCTAGGTTCAATCCCCAGTCCAAAAAAGAAAAATGAAAAATAAAAGTTAGACAAACTTTAAGAATTCTTTCTTGCTCTTAAAATTACAGAACTGCCAGACATCTAACTTTTTCCAAGTAAAAATAAGGGAAAAACTTCAGTAACATCTTTTTGGTCCAGCATCTTGTACCACGGCTTTAGCAAACCAACAAATGGACAGGAAGTATTTCAAAATAAAAGCAGGTGCATGACCTAAAATCAAAGCTATCTCGGCCCTGTTCTAGATTTTCTTCTGACCTGACATAAGACCTTAGCAGGCAATTAATCTTGGTGTCTGTGTCCTCATTTACTAAGGGGAATATCCTCAAGGGATATTGCACAGTGTCACAATTTAAAACTCAAAGTGGTAGTAGAAAAAAAATTTAAAGCCATTGAACCTATTAAAGAATAATTTATTAATGCAGCCATTATTTAATGAAAATAGATGCCAAAGAGTTTCAAATCTACTCAAAAGGGCTACAGTGTAAAAGCATTTAGGAAGCCAAACCAGATTTTAAATTAATTTTAAATTAATCTTAAAATTAAAATCCTTAAAACTAAAATCCATTAAAATCCTTATTTTAAAATACCAGAATAGAATCAGAGTGATTTTTGGTTGCTGCTGTAGTTCTAATGTGTCCCCCAAAATGTATGTGTTGGAAACTTAAGCCCCAAGGCAGTAATGCTAAAATGTGGAACCTTAAAGAGTTAACTGGGTCATGAGCACTCTGTCCTCGCATGTGGTCTTGAGAATAGGTTAGACACTGTGAGAGTGGACCCTTGATCAAAGATGAGTTGGTCTCTCTCTCCCTCCGTGCTCTCTACCTTCCCCTTTCTCTCTTTTTCTCCTCCTGCTCTTTTGCCCCTCCGCCATTCTGCCTTAGGACAATACAGCAAAAGAGTCCTTCTCAGATAAATACTCTTGTATCTCCAATTTCCAGCCTCCAGAACCATGAGCCAAATCAATTTCTGTCCATGATACATGGCCTGGTCTGAGATACTTTGTTACAGCAACTCAAACTACAGCAGTTGGCGTACCAGTTACTTGATATGGTGATTTAGCTTAGATACTTTACCTCTCATAGCCTCTATTTCTTTCTAAAGCTAGGGTCATTATACTACTTAACTCATAGAGTGTATTAGAGACTGAATGAGATAATCTCTTACCTACAGTAAGTGCTTTAAGCACAAGCAATGCAATGGAATACTATGCAGTCTTTAAAGAGAATAAAGTTCTTCATCTGAGAGACCAAGAATAAAACGAGGAAACACGTGAAGTGACATAAGCCTGCTAGAGAAAGAAAAGTACTATCCAGTATAATCACATATGGAATCTAAACGTTGATCTCATGAAAACTGAGCATAGAACAGCTGTTACCAAAGGCTGGAAGAGCAGTGGGAAGGGAGCGATGGGGAAATGTCGGTAGAGAAGCCCTAAGTTACAGGTAGATAAAAGTAAATTCTGGAGTATTACAGCAGGGTATCGTAACTGTTCTCACAGACGACAATGCATACCTCAAAAAGCTAAAAGAAAGCACTGTGACTGTCTTCTCCATGCACAAGTGTGTGGAATTTTGTGTTTTCCTATTTGTAGCTGTACTTCTGGGGCCTAGGATAGGAATATGCACATAATGGGCACCATTAATATATTTACTGAATAGTTCTGCTTTTTAAAAAAAAATAAAAGGCTAGGGGCTGGGGATTTAGCTCAGTGGCATAAGCGCCTGCCTTGCAAGCAGGCAGTCGTGAGCTCGATCCCGGGTACCAATAAAAAAGGAAAAAGACAAAAAATAAATAAATAAATAAATAAATAAATAAATAAAAGGCTAACCAGCATTGTTAAGAACAGTATGTAGCAGAAAGATCACTAAGGAAAAGTAGTGACCTGCATACACAAGAGCGCGTGGCTCCTCATTAGAACTGTGACAGAATCCAGCAAGCCAACAGGCCTATTTTTTACAAATACAAATCACATTCATTTTGACAGGATTATAACACATGACCCAAATAAACTGTGAATATAGAATTATATGGTACTGGCAATCAGTTATAGTTGTCATTTAATGAAAATAAAAACCAAACTATATACTTTTTAAAGAAATCAGTTGGTGTGACAATGAATAATATATCACCGTTGGGCTCTCCTGTAGTCATGCATGTGATCATCATGATCACCATCTTTGCCTTTTCAGAAAGTAGCGTAAGAGCGTACAAAGAACCTGAGCTTTGAAATGTACAGCACCTGTTTCAAACCTCACTTCTGATTTATTGGTCATATGACCACTGCCACTGTAAAATGGGGAATCATCTCCTTAGAAGTGTGCTGAGGTTTAATGCGATGCTTTAAAGCACCTCAAACAATACAGGTCCTTCAATAAAAGCTACTTTTTCATCACTCTTTATTTGACTGACACTTTGGAACCATTAATTTCCTCTGGCGTTTCTCCTTTTAGTACTATACCAAGAAGATACTTCCAAGAACAAGGAAACCAAAAATCTAAATTAAATCTGTCTAGGAGACAGTACCCTTCACTGTTAACGAGCTACTCTATTTCCTCTTTACAAATCAATTTTGCCTAACAGTGGCATACACAGCGCAGGCTGGAGTGGGATGAAAACTTACCTGATCAATGTAAAACGCCGTTCCTGCCCGGATCTCTCGTCGCTGTTTGAGATCAGTTTCAGTGGTGTCCCTGGATAAAGCAATATATTCAACTTCCCGTTTCGTCAGTTCCTACAAAGCGGAGACAAGTTACTCCAAAACCAAAGTCAAACTACCAGCAGATGAGTGCAGCCACTGTCCAAGAGATCAGCACCTAAAATGTAACGCTAGATTAAAAGCTTCTGAATCTCAGCTTTGAGAAAAATGCAGTAAGCTGAGTATTAATCAAAAGGCATAAGCTCTCCTTAGAACTCAATCTACTGCACTCAGTCTCACTCTAAAGCAATGACAAAAAAAATTAGATCCCACAAATCTTAATTTTCCTGTAGAATTCTTTTTTGAATATTATAACTAATAATTTGGTAGTATTTCTACTTCATTTCATATAAATTATAAGAATTTCTGTAAGTAATGTTTATCTTTTTACTAAAGGCAGTTAAAATCAACTTATACCATGGACCAGATTTATCAAATGTTTACAATATGTTAAGTACTTCACCAAATGTGGACATAAAGTAAATGCCAACAGTCTTGTCAAGAGAAGAGAGATACACATGCACAGCTGAAGGAGGAGTAAAAAAAAGGAAGAAGGAAGAACAGAATGAGGATGAAGAAGAGAAAAAAAGTTATTTCACAAACAAAAAAATTATGTGATTTGAAGGAGAATTATTCAGAATCTTTTTCTTTCAAAATAGTTTATCCATTCTTAAAACCATTTTGTTCTACATGTAACAATTATATAAAAAATTTTTACATATTATCCTTGATTTTATGATGTTAAGAACTGTGCTACTCTCTAATCAAATAAGACATATAATATAAGTTTTTGTTAAACAGGGAAAACAAATTAATTTCTGGAAAGATACAAGAAAAAAATTGTCAGGGGCTGGGGATTTAGCTCAGTGGCATAAGCACCTGCCTTGCAAGCAGGCAATCGTGAGTTCAATCCCTGGTACCAATAAAAACGAAAAAGACAAAAAAAAAAAAAAAAAAAAAAAAAAAAAAAAAAAGAAAAAAATTGTCTAGGCTAAAAGGAAAATTTTACACATGAGTTTTTTTTCCTGAATTTTATCTCTATTTTATCTTGGTAAGAAATACTTTATTATTGCCATTCAGTGTATTTAAATATACCTGGTTCTATGTTGCTATCAGTTTACTTATGTATAGAAAGGAAGAAAAGTTTTAAATAGAGAATCCACATAGCATACTGTGAAGATGTCATATATTGACGCTTTGCTAAGCTGCATTGTCCCTGAGAACCCGTTCTGGTGTAAAGAGCGCTGTCTCTTTTGAGCAGACCTCCTTCCTGTTTCTGGAACATCACTAGCACCTTCATGCCTGTGTCTTTGTTGGCTGACTGTGATCTCCCTCACTGAATACCCTGTCAGTCACAATGACTGACAAAGCCTTTTAGTATTATACTGCAACACAGTAAAGGATTGCGCTGCCAGCCGAGGACAGTGCTACCATCAGCCTCAGTCTGGACAGCTTCTTGGACTCTAGTTCCAGTCTCTTGGGTGCAGCTTCATGAAAGAGGAACAAGCAAACTTGCATACAGAACCAGGAGGAGGTAGCAGTGATCTGCTGTTTTTCATTTGTTTTCAAATAATTTACAAACCTCTTTTTACCTAGTTACATATCAAATAAAGGCAACTATTACATGATTTCCTTTTAGTTTAGTTTCTCTGTTTGTAGTAGGCTTGCCCCCAGATTTCTGTTGTTTTGTTTTGTTTGGTGGTAGTGAGGACTGAATCCAGAGAGTCCCATTCCCAGTTCTTCTTCTTCATCGTCCCTCTCCTTCTTTCTTTTTTTTTTTTAATATTGAGGCAGCCTAGGCTTCACATTTATAGACTTGCGTTTTTGAACTATCAAGCTATGTATAATCTCCTAACTGCTCTCATCCCACAACTTTAACAAGCTTCAAAGTCTTGCCAGAAACAAAATCTCAGTAAGATATTGTGGTCTCTCAAATCATCAGGACAGAGTACACAACTAAAAATTAAGATTGTTCTAAGCAGCTGAGTCCCCCTTTGTAGACAAACAGTAGTAGGACTGAGAGATAGCAGGATTGGGACGTAGTAGGACTGAGTGCCGTAAACGTAAAGGTGATGGTGCTGCGGCACATCGTAACTCACAGACTGGCTCTAGGGATAAGTGAAAGATGCAAAATAGCCAATGGGAATTAGGTGCTGATTTGTCCATTACATTTTTATCAGTCTTGCCTTATGAGCTTTTGAAATTACCAAAGTAAATTCGCCACTGAAATAGAAGAGCATATAAAGTAGATTTCAATAACATAGAAATCAATCCTTTAAAGAAAATAGCAAAAGTTTTAACAAGAGTTTTCTCCTAATACTAAGAAATTTCTTCAGAACCACACTTTGCCTGATGATACTCTTCCTTGATCACCAGAGCAAAGCCTATTAATGGCTAAAAATAGTAGAAAAGTCCCTCACATTCTTATGTGAGTTGGGTTGTGAACATTTCAATTTACTCAACAACAGCTCTCAAAGAATTGCTAGGATTTTAAGAGAATAACATGTCAGAGATTTGAAGTCTAACGCCATCATTTACCAGCTGATAAAGATTGAGTTATTTAACCTCGCTTAATTTCTTTTCTCATCTATTTAAAGAAAAGAAAGGGAAAACATGCAACATTAAGCAAATGTTCTTTAAAATACAGGCTCTCTAAAATACTGTACAGAAAGGGAATTATTTGCTTTTTTAAAATGTTATCCTGAGACAAGGAGAAATTCACTCAGTTGTATCAAGCTAAGTTTTGTTTTGTAATTTCAGAGTTGCTGATTCTCACTACTACTCATTACCTGAATGTATATTTCTTTTCTACTAGAAGCAAAGAACTTTTTAGTGATAAGTAAAACTCAGCTAAGCTACGAAAGGCAAATGTGCATTTGTTTCCCAAATCACTTTTGCTAACCTCTTTGTAAACAAATCACTTTGATGTTAGCATTTATTTCAAGTAGTGAGTAATTCTGATACTATAAAGTTTGAAACTCCATTTTATTACATAGTTTATCAAAGTTACGACCCTCAGGAATTGGCAAGAATTGATTGCTCACCAAGTACTGCATAGCAATTGAGCGTCGAAGAGGTCCAGGAGGTCCAATTAGAAAAATATCTTGCCCCAAAAGATCCTTTTGCATTATCCATCTCAGATGCTGAATAACAGACTGACCCAGAGGTTCTGAAACTTCGAAGAAAAAAGAAAATGAAATGCAAATTGAACTGTTACTAACAACACAAATCTCAAAGCAATGCAGATTGTAACTCTTAAAATATGTACGTATATACAAACACCCATTTCTGCTATAGTATATACACTGGAAGACAGTGAGACAGAAACAGAGACACTGTCTGACTCTGTCTACCTGGTCACCTTTTACTGTTTCACAAGAGAATTACAGAACTATTATCAATGCTAAGGAAAGAAGGCATGGAGTTATTTAAAGCCGGAGCTCTGGGATTTGGGCATAATCCTGTGAATGCTCATAGGAGTGATTTCCACTTCATCGTGATGCTCACTTGTTTTGTAAGGACCTCAGAAAGAGCTGACAATTTTCAGCCCTTCAGTCGGTCTTACCACCCTACACTGGCTGTTAACAGGCGTAGAGCGGTCAACAGCCCATGCCTGTCAGAGGCATTTGGAAATGGCTGGGGAAATTTTTGGTTGTTGCAAAGCTCTGGAAAAATGTGGGATAATTCAGCACACTACTAATAAATACGAGTATTAAATATAATGTCCAAGACATTCCTACCATGCCCAACAGGTGGGACCCAAGTTGAGAAAGCAGTCATGTTTTCTCCTCAAAGTCTCTGTTGCTTTCACACTATAAAGAAGTTATTTTTAATTAGCCATAATTAAGCCAGAGAAAAATTTCCTCTCAGTTTCCCCTTCCTTCTGCAGGATGAAATTTTTAGGAAGGCAAGGCAGTAACAAAGAAGTTCTACTTTTATAATGAGCTTACTGAAGAAGTCAGGATATCTAAGGCTATCATCATCACTACAGTTCAAATCTGTGCAGTTTCTGAATCTTACAGATGACCATGTGGTCAGTGATATACCTTCAAGAAGAACACATTGCATTCCTAATTTTATCTACATTCAATAATGGACTAACTTTGTTCATAAAATAATGCAATCCCATCTTACAATAGGTGAAAATAAAAATGATTTTTATACTGCATCACATTTAGATCCAAATTAGTGTGGGAGGCAGCAAACTAAGCGCCCACAGACACTTAGTAAAGCCAGACTGAGTTCAGTTCCCATCTCTGATATTTACTAGCTGTATCACTTTAACTGAGTTATTTAAACTTGATATTTAAACTTAATATCCACTCTATATAGTGGACATAATAACCATATTTATAGAGTTGTTGTGAAAATTAAACACCAATAACAGGGTCCGGTAGTTTTAAGTGCTGTGTATTTGTTATATCCCAGTCATTCTAACCTATAACTGCCTTCAAAAGCTTTTTAATAGCCATCTATCTTCAAGTTCAAGACTTTCCCCATAAATGTAGACCCCATAAAACTACGTCAAATTGAATAGACTTCCTGTTCTGGTCAATAGTTGTATTTTTCTATTAAAATTTCAAAGTAATTTTATTATGCACATTGTGTTATCAGAAGACCCACTTCATATTTTATTATAGTGTATATGTCTCATTCATATTTTATTATACTGTATTGTTTAAAAAAGCACCTCCCTATTTAATTTACTGGAAATCACATAAACTACTAAAAGAAAACATTATGTAGTGCCACGTGATGTCTATGATGTATTTCACATTAATGCTGAAACTTGCTGTATTTTTAGGATGGCCTCAAGAAAACATGAGTCATACTTAAAATCATGTCACAAATAGAAACAAGACTTAAGAATATACATTACAAACATCTGCAAAACAAACTACAAACTGCCATTGCATAACCTAATATAAACACAATCCAGCACATGAGAGAAATCCCCGACCTTGTTTTCAAACTTAAGATGCTACCTTCAGGAGTCCAAAAGTGATGTCAGAATAGTACCAAAGAGCCTCATCGTATAGCCTGTGATTTCTTTTTCTATGTAAAAACATCTGTTTCATGTTGGACTAAATTAATAGCCAGTGTCTTCTTCCAAAAATTAATTTCCTGGTTTTTTGCAGTCATATTCAGAGGCTTTAGAATCATTTTATTACAGTAACCCTAGTTATAACTTTCTCCCTCTTGCAAACTCTAATTTATCATACATGTAAAGATTAAAATTAAAATTTCAGAAAACTAAGCATCGATCAAATTCCCTTATAGTAAATCTTTCAGCACTAATGACGTTTTCTTAGTGATCCAAGAGGTAACATAACACAACATGAAGAAAGAACTTTTCCATCCTGGTCTTATCAGTGTCCTCATTTTGGCCCTTCTGGGTCTAAGTTTCCCCATTTTTTAAAAGACAAGTTATAATACTTGTCAAGTGAGGTTATGATGAGGATTGCCAAGCAAGGTCCAGGTCTTCAGCCAGTGAGATCAAGGTACTAAATAGCAAGATCCACCCTTACCTACAAAGTCCTCTCTTTGCTATGTGCTCTGGACAGCAGGGTTTATATCACAGGATGGGTGGACATGACTCATCTCCTGGATTTACGCTCAAATTACCATCTGGCTCTACAGACTACTCTGAAGTAATAACGGAAAAAGGTACCTAGTACTTACTATATCCTAAACATACAGTCTGTGCTAGGTACTTTTCAATATCATTTTATTTTACTCAACATAATCATGCCACCAAAGTGTTCAGAGACAAGAACCCAGGCCTGTCTCACTTCTCTGAATTTCGTTTTCTACCACACTGCAATGCAAGATTTCAAAACAAGTGCAATTGTCTTGGTAACATTTTCCTCATTACTGAGACAAAATACCTGACACCCAAATTTAGAGAAGGAAAGGTTTATTTAGCTCACAGTTTGTGGAGGTTTCAGTCCATCCTCAGTCAGGATGACACAGGACAAAGGTCAACAGCTCATGGCAGTGAAAGACAGAAAAAACAACAAGAGAAAAAAGGAAAAAACACATGAAAAGAAGACCCTTTCTGTCTCTCATATAGGCACTTGGGTATAGCACTCATATCTGTAATTCCAGCACTGAAACCATGAATCATTCACAAACTCTAGAAGCCTGCCTCCATGACCACTTGAGGCTTTGGGGGGACATCCAGACACAAACCATAACACCAACTAACCTTTTCATGGCAAATGCATGCTTCTCTATTAATTTGTCTCCTATGTGCATCACTAATGGATATAGCAGATATCAAGTGGGGAAAGAACACGACAGGTAACACAATACACTGTGTTCAGAACAAAGTCCTCATTATTTCCAAGATGGGCTTAAGTTATTTTCCTGTTATTGGGAAAAAATACTCAACACTCACAATTTAAATGTGGAGAGGTTTATTTTGGCTCATGGTTTCAAGCCATGCACTGTTAGCTGGCTCCAAGGCAGAAATATCATGGTGAAAGGGCAGGGCAGAGGAAAGCTGCTTATCCTGTGGCAGCCAGGAAGCAGAAGAGAAGGGAGGAGCTGGGGACAAGAAAACAGTTTTCTAGCCTACACTTCCAGCGACCTACCTCCACCTAGGCCTCACCCCCTACCAGCACATTCAGCCATGAACGCATCCACAGATGAATCCACAAATGAGTACAGCACTTCATGATCCAATTACCTTCTAAAAGCCCCACCTCTGAATACCTTCAATATTTGGGGACACTTTAAATCACAATATGGACTAACAACTAACAACTGAAATCATCCACATAGCTACATTTATTGAGAATCTACTAATTGCACGGCATCGTGAACACAACGAGGAGTACAATAAAGTCAATGAAGATAGCATACAGCACATACATAAACTTCAATTTATATAAAGCCACTCTGATGAGTATTTACTCAATACTCAAATTAAATGAAAACTGTAACACTGGCCACCACAGTAATCATCACAGAGAAGGCATTTAGTTTCCTTAAATTGGAAAAGTTTATCAATATAAATTGTATGTTTTGTGTAAGTATCTACATATTTGTTTGTGTTTTCATGCAGAAAAGATACTCCTGAAACTAACACTATGGGAAATACTATAAAAGAGAACAGGATGAAAGTATGATTTCTCAATAAGCATCTTATATATTATTTTTATTTGTGAACAACATATATTAATTCTACCCAGAAAAGTTACTTTGCTTAAGTCAAGTTTAGAAAATGTCACCATGGTGGCACATGCCTATAATCACAGCAATTGGGAGGCTGAGGCAGGAAGATTGTTGTGAGTTCAAGGCCAGCCTGAACTAAGTAAGGAGATTCTGTCTCAAAAATAACAATAATAATAATAATAACCAACAAAAAAATGCTTAATATGAAAAATTTCTAAAATGTATTGCTTTTTCAAAATGAACACAAAATAGTATATAATGTTTTCTTATATAATAAATGTATATCTGAATAGTCTTCTCTACAATAATAGATACATTTATAAGGATTCAAGTCATACCAAGTATGTTCTCTGACCACAATTAAATTGGAAGTTAATAAGATAAATATCTTTAGAAAATCTCCAAACATTTAGAGGCTAAATAATATACTTCCAAATAATACACAGGATCACTGCCAAGTGACTTAAGTAAGATAGTTAACAAGGGGTTCTTAGTGCTATTTCCCTCAACAAAAAAAAATCACCAAACACAAATAAACAACCACATTTTAATCAATATCACTAAAGACAAGCAGCTGAAGATGCTCCCAAGAATCCACTTGCTCTACTAACCCTACAAAAGAAACCACTCAATGCCTATCCCAATCCACCCCTACCTCTCTGGTTCAAGCTGCTACTGCACTGTACCATCATTATGGAACCAGAAGCCCTGCTAGAATATCTTTTGCTTCAAGCACAAGTAGTCACTGCAATGGCTTTGACGGAGCTATACCAATTCTACCCACCATTCATAAATTAGCTACTGCTGTACCCTACCCTCTTAGGATAAGCTCCCTTGGTGCCATACCATGCTCCATCCCAATAATCAGTCCATACTGCCCTTCAGGACCCAATCTGAAGTGACACCCACCACCAGGGAACTAGAGCCTTGAACAAGTAATGAAGTCTTACCCGTTTGTACCCAGGTCAACAAGGGGCCGTGCTCCCTGAGCCTTCT